ACGGAAACATTCAAAATAGAGGTACATGTGATAATTTCCCGTTGAAAGTTCATGAGGAATTTTTACATAGACCTTAATTTTAAGAAAATCACAAAAAAAATCCCAATTTCCCAAAACCTCGCCTACATTTTTTTTTCAAATTTTGGGATTTTTTTAGATGAAAATACTTTTTACAATAGGAAACCAGAGTCTCTTTCTCTCTCTAGGAATTTGTAGAACCATTTTTGTCACTGCAAAATAAACAATAATGGTGGGTAATCTGTATACTGTATATACATTAAGAAAAAATAAAAAAAAACTCGAATTTGTTTCAATTTTATTATGTATTTATTCAAAAATGAAATATTAGAGATAAATTTTTGGGATTTTACGAAAAAAATGTATCTCTTGGTTTTGATTTCGCAGAGCGCAAGAGGAGAGAGATAGCCCTGATATTAGCTTCGGTTTGAAGCTTTTTAACCAAAAATACCGTGAAGAATATATTTATGTATTATGGTAATTAAAGTACGGTAATATTCTTTACTATATTTAAATTACCGTAATGTTCATTACGGTACTCGAAGTACGGTAATATATCTTCATACTATTACGTTAGTCCTTCTACCGTAATACATTCAAATGTATTATGGTAGAAAGACAACCATAAATAGTATTTTCGTCCAAAGAATCCCAAAAATACCGTAATACATTCAAAATGTATTACGGTAGAAAGACTACCGTAAATGGTATTTTTGTCAAAAGAATCCTAAAAATTGGAAAAAATGGTGTGGACGAGGTTTTAGGAAGTTGGGGTTTTTTTTGCGATTTTTTTAAAATTAAAGTATATTAACGATAATTTCCCTACATTTTACTACTAAAAGTGAGTTTTAACACTATGCAGCTAATTATTTTTTTTATGCACTCTCCCTCTTCAAATTTTTTTATTTTTTTTATAATATTCATTTAACTGCCTTCCTTTGTTCTTCTTTTTTCTATTTTTTTTTGGTAAATTTAGTGGGAAGGACAGAAATGGAACCACGACACGATAACTGATTCAAGAGAAGCTACCACCACGAAATAAGCCAGATTCCCAACCCTTTTCCTCTCCTACCTTCCATGTTACATGCGTTCCCACAGTGGAGCCGAAACAGAAGGAATGAGAAACAAAGATACGAAAAAAGAAACATCTCTGAATTCCATTGAAATTTGCCCCATTTGCGAGCTAAGGGACGGTCCATGTTGTGTTTAATTGTGAACCTAATCAATGATTCTGTTTCACTCCAACCCAACGCATTGATAATGACAGTCTCATGATGATCGATACTGGACTAGTTTTCGACCTCCTTAGCCTGGTGGAAAGGGTTCTGTCCTATGTGAGTTTAACACTCAAAAATTAACAATAGAGGTAAGCCTGAGGTTACCACCCTTCTGTCTAATAAATAAAAATAAAGGCAAGCCTGAGGTAAGATAAGCTTACCACCCTTCTGTCTAATGCATAAAAATAAAGGTAGGCCTGAGGTAAGATGAGCTTACCACCCTTCTGTCTAATAGGATGTCAAGAAAGTTGATTTTGACGGTATTTATAATTTTTTCTAAGTTGTTTAACAGAAACGAGAGAGAGAGAGAAAACTGCTAGTATTGAGAGCAGTGCTTTAAAACCTACCTCCGGTGAGCCAATTTGGATTACTTGAATAGGGTGATTTGGATTGGTTTGTTTTAAAACCCGGAGATTTTTTATTCGGATTGCCGATCTGGATGTGGAAACCAAATCAATTTTTAGATAGTATGGTTTCCAGTCCAATTCCCAACTAAACCCTGTTTCCATTTTTTTTTTCTCTTTGCTTTAAGCTTATCTAATGTTGTTCTCAATCCTCTTCGAACCCTTAATTATATTCAGTTATTTTTTAAAAAAATTTCTAGATCACCATTTCGAATGATTCAATAACAAATGGGATTGTATACAATTAGACCATTTATCTTTGAAATAAGGACGTCATAATTATTTAGTTTGAGAAAATTTCTTTTGAAATTTGAGCTTGGTCAATAGAATTAATGCAATCATCTAAATTCACATCCAACCACATAAAAAAACCTACTTCTTATGGTGATTTACCAAAAAAAAGTGACTATAAATGTAAAGGACCTGATTTCTATGCGGCCAAGCCCGCATATATAGAAATGCAAGCCTCGTAATGAATCTATCTTTGAGATAGATTTTAAGACTTAATTTTTAAGGACATGTAATCTCTAACATGGAGACCATGGATATGAATAAATAAATAAATAAGTTTTAAAAACTAGAAATAATAATTTTAATAAGAAAACATTTGAACCGTAAGTTTCCATTGTTTTTAGATAGAACACCTACTTGCATTCATCTTTGAGATGGATGCTTTACATTTTTTGGTCCGCATATGTCAAAATACGGTCCAGCATGCATGAAACAACTTTCCAAATGTAAAATATTTAAAGTCATTATCAGCATCACCATAGCTTTTTTTCAATTAATTGGGGATGGCTACATACTTCAAGGTTCTCCATTCTGCTCTATTAAAAGTCATATCCTTAGAGAGACCATAAGTGCCCATATCTTTTCAGACTACTTCCGAACATGTCTCTTTTAGCCTAAATGTAAAATATTTAAAATAATATTCAAATAATAATAATAATGCATGGTTGAATTGAAATTTCTTATCATCAATGAATCCCAAATTAGGAACCAGGATCCTGCATAGAGCGTCCTAGTGTTTCGCCATATGATGTGAATGGCATTTCCCTCTTTTCATCATATGTGATGCTAATAGGGTCATTTTTTTCCACTTGACAATGGAGGTGTTATTTTTGAAAAGTTGTGGGTAATGGAGAATCTACACTTTTCTGATATGATAAATGATTTGGTGACTACCTTTTCAAATACCTTTTCCCTGATGTGGTCTCTAAAGTCTCAAACACACAAGCTACAGTAAAAGACGCTAGTGGGGATGCTCATACTAACATTGTTTGGTCTATTTATGAGAGGTATATGAGAATAATTGATATTTTTATCTATGGGTATCAAACCTTATTGGACATGTTAAACAATATCCAACTTTTCCCTAATCTACAGGATGATGTGATCTGGGACCTTACTACCTCGGGGGATTTTACGGTTAAGTCAGCATATGCTCTTATCATCTGCGATCGATATAGACAACTGGATCCAAGACTTTCTTAGATAAAGAAACTCCATGTTCCGCTTAAAGTTTAGTTGTTTCTATGGACACTTTGTCAAGACAAGCTAGCCACTGTAGATAACTTAATGAAGCACGGGTTCATTATACCCAATGTTTGCATTTTGTGCAAAGCTAGCAATGCAACAGCCTAACATTTATTCCTCTTCTACCCTTTAATTCCTGATCTTTGGAATTGGGTTCTCCAATGTTTCAACTTATCTATTCCAATTCGAAAATTTTGCAGATTTTTTATCTCTTCATGGTTATCCCTTTGTATCCCAAATGTGGGTAATATATTTTGACGTTCTTTATGGATAAGCGTCATTTGGAGTGTGTGGAAGAAGGGAAACTAAAGAATGTTTAAAGGAATCTCCATTGATTTTGCTATGCTAAAATCTAACATTTTAGCCTTAGCAACAAATTAGTTTTTTTCTCACAAAGATGGTGGCCCTACACCAAATAGACTTATCATTAACAGCCCCTTAGCAATCGCGACTAGGCAACATGAGATCTACCGAAGAGCTACTGTTTGGTCCCCTCCTCATTTATACTCAATCAAATTGAACTTTGATGACAGCAACTTTGGCAATCCAAGAGCAACAAGCTATGGTGGGTTGATTAAAAATCATTTGAGTCATGTCTTGTGCTCATAGTCATGTCCATGTCATATTACTACCGCTAATGAAACGGAGGCTAGAGGTCTCCTGGAGGGTTTGAAACTTCTTTCACGGTGGGAAGGGCATATGATTATTGAAGGAAATTTGGCAAATGTCATTGCTTGGTACCATGAAGAATTTAATATTCCATGGAGCGTTAGAGTATCGTTTCATGCGATTAGGATCATCCTTTCTTCTTTCAATGCTAACTTGCATCATTGCTATCGTGAGGTGAATGAAAAGGCCTATGCCTTAACCAAAAGAGGAACAAACTCCACCTCTCTACTTGTCAATTTTTTCTGACGCTTCCACTTCTTTATTTCCTGTATATCTTGTATCTTTTTATTTATTTAATAGAAAGGTTGTGTTAATGTTCAAAAAAAATGGAGACCGCCAAAATTCTAGGTCTTCGCCTTAGGGGCTTAGCTTCAACCTTATTGGTAGTACATGGAGTGCTCAGAGGTGACCACCCTCTTGAGTATGATAATCTTTGATTACGTTTCTAATCCTTATTGGCCAGGGTTTCTTGGTGAATTGCCATCAAAGTTTAATTTCACCCTTTCAAAATTTGTGGCGGTGATTGTAGCTAATTACCAAATGAAAGACCTACATTCATCTAGTATTTATATTAAATAGATAAATAAAAATAACAATTACCACAAGCTTCTAATAATATGGTCGTAATCTGTCATTACATGCGACTCTTTCTACTGTATAATAGAAAGAACAAAGCTTTTACACATTTTCATTAATCCATGAAAAGAAATCTATATAGACACATAGATGATGAACCCATACATCTCAATCGGAAAAGAATCGATAGAAAAAAAAAAAATTAGAATTGATCAATATGTTTCTTGAAACAAACAAAACAGAAAATAAAGATAAAACCTCAATTATGGATCAAATAAGCCCTCTCGAGGGCTTGCTTAAGAATAAAAAACAGAAATCTCATGAAAATACCATAGAATAAAGTTTGATCGGAGATTCCATAGATATCCCATTCCAAAAAATATATAGTTCAAAATAATGGGGACGTTTTTCAAAGATTGGGTGTAATTACTAATTTATGATCTGGTATGTACATAATGAAAATTTCATTCTCGATTTTACGAGAATTTTTATGAAAGCATATAACACAGGGACACGCACAGAATTAAAGAATGTGATTAATTATGAAGGCCGGTCAGTGGGGATTGATACCATAACAAGATATGATTGAATATTTGTCAAAATACAACTTCACAAAACCACTTTTTATGAATCAGCGGCATAGCTCTTTAGGCTTGCTTTGAAGACGGCCTCAAATTCAGCCGCCCAGGCACAAGTCCAGTTATGATGTTAGTTGCAGTTGTCACCAAAATAGTATGTAAGACCATTCTTTTTACGCTTCCATCAGATCAACGCTTTCGATGTTGGTGCACGTTCAGAAAACATAATTCTTGACATCTTTTCCGTCTTCCCATTTCAACGATAGCTCTAGTATGATATGGAAAATGTAGCATCCAGAAAATCATCAATGAGTGGAAGCTTCACTCTTTGGTCAAGAATCATTGTCGAATTGTCACCATTTTGAGGCTTATGATTCAAGCATTGGATATGACAGATTAGTCATCCATCATGCAGTGGACTCCATATCAGATCATCACTTTCAATGTATTTTCCTAGACTTTGTGACCATCTCTGTGTAGAAATGAAGTCTCCAAAGGGTCGCATTATCCTGAAACACCAATCACAACACTACGAATAATTTCTATCACCAAATAACGAACATTTCTTTTAATTATGACCTCCTTTACAAGATCATGTATCCAAACACTACGGAATGAGGGTCCTTTCATCACAAAACAACAAAAACGAACATTTTTCATAATTCTCACCTCCATTTCGAGATCAACTTGTATGTCGTCACTTTCTGTTGATGCTTTTTTCGGCCTGAGGATTTCGATAAGTCGGTACAGGTTATCACAAGGTAGCTTTCGAATGCGGTGGCAGAGTTCAACCTTCTCATCAAAAAACATGGGCCTGCACATATGCAACACCAATAGAACGTGCATTTCAGAGGTTTCTTATGTAAAAAATCTACAGAAAAAATAAGCTTAAAATAAGAAAAGTATTAGAATTCAAATGTTTCAATATTACTTGATAGGTAAAACCTGAATGATGCAAAGGCATTCCAAGGCACTAGGAAGCGGTAGCAATGCCAACATAGTTTCCATGAGAGAATCTGTGGGAACAAGGTTCGAGAGAACAGTAGTTCGTTGGAAACTAAATTACAAAATTTTATTGGCCACATCAAATCATGGCTATCATGTGGTAGATGGTTCGTTTGGTAGCCTCATGTGCCCCCTCCATACCCTTATAAATACAGCTGATGGCAAGACTTTCATCTTCAAATACCATTATACGATCTTGTAGGGGGTCTCAGAAATACAACTGATGATGTCATGTGTGTCCAGAACTGATAGAATGAGCCCATGGCAACTTTCGCATTATCCTCAGACCTACCAAGTCAGGCAAGTTTACCATAGTAATTTTCTCTCTTCTAAGGATTTGCACATTGAAAAGTTCAGTGCGAAGCAGTTAGCCCCACAAATTCTTACCCAATCATATGTTTTCCCCGTGAGATTCAAAATGTTAGCATGGCAATAATTTTGTTCTAGACTCAGGCCCATCCACCATTATTCTCATGCCTTCCAACTAAAATCAGCATACAATAGATTAATGGAATTTACAGCACACGGTGTCGAGTGCATATGACAAAAGGATATATGCAAATCTTCTACCTAGTAGTAGAGAATGGGCTGGGGTCTTGGCGGTAGTACTGCCAGGCCCTATGATGAAGTCTCATACACCATTCTCACCAAAGGGTAGGGACCCAAATCCCCACTGACTTGCCTTTTTTTTTTTTTCTTTTCTAGCCAGTGGTTGACTCATTATCTATAACATGTAACCACAAATATGTGGTCACACATCCACAAGCACTAAAGAAGCATCCGTGTACTTCACCACAACTGATGCATTTTGTGATTTCAACAATACAATTCCTTCAGTGCCTGTAGGTCCAATTTGGCCAGTATTCAGTCTCTAAGTAGTGCCTTACTGTCGGTCCAATTTGGCCAGTATTCAGTCTCTAAGTGGTGCCTTATTAAGTCGTTAATCAAAGTGGGCAGCAAAGTTTTGATGAACCTGTTAGTCAATGCAGTCGTTGTTAGTTACTTCCTAAGGTTGACGTCCAAGGAGTCCCATGTAGGCCCTCCATGTCTAATTCAGCTTTCCGAGCTTGATGGTCGACTGGTTAGAGACCTTGCTCTGAAATGGAAATCGGAAGGGTAATGGCCGAAAATGGTCATGTCAAGGCGCCAGCCCTAGACATATTCCCTGTGCCCGGTTTCGCTGTTTCATCAGTTCTGGGACACAATAGCTCAGATTTGTTGGCCAGGTTTGTGGAAGTCTACCAAGGGAAATATCACTTGGGAGTCTTTAGTGCTTTGACCCCAAAGGTCAAAGGGGCAAAGCAACTCAAGGACTTCATGCCAATTAGCCTGCTTATTACAAAATTCTAGCTTAAGTATTAGTCATTTGCCTTGGGCAGGCCCTAGGATTTGGTGTCAACTTCACAGGGTACGTTTGTAAAGAATTGCCAAACATTGGATGCAATGAACCAAAAGTCGGCCACCCAGCCGCCTAGGCGGACGTTTTCAAAAAACGCTTAGGCGTGATCAAGGCGGTCTATATTAGGCAGAAAAAGCTAGGCGCCTGCCTAGGCAGTGTAAAAGGCAAGCGCCTAGGTGCTGCCTTGAAAATATCGTAATTAATTTATAATTTCCATATAACAATAATTATTAATTTATTGGTAAACTAAAAGATAGTATTTCGAAATTATTAATTTATTGAAAATGCTTTTTACATGTAGCATTAATTATTAATTATTGATAAACCAAAATAAAGTATAAATTCATAATTATTAATTTATCGAAAATACTTTTTGCTTGTAATATTAATTATTAATTTATCGGAAAATCAAAAAACTAGTACTAATTCGTTTACTAATTTATCAAAAATTCCTTTTGCATGAGATAGTAATTAATTTATTGGAAACCCAAAAATAATTACGAAAAAAAAATTTGCATGTAACATTAATTATTAATTTATTGAGAAATCAAAACAATAATATTAATTTGTAATTACTAATTTATCGAAAATACCTTTTGCATGTGATAGTAATTAATTTATTAGGAACCCAAAAATAATAACTATGAAAATTCTTTTTGCACGTAACATTAATTATTAATTTAGTGGGAAACAAAAAAAACTAGTATGAATTCGTAATTACTAATTTATCGAAATGCTTTTTGCATGTGATAGTAATTAATTTATTGGGAATCCAAAAATAATAACTACGAAAATGTTTTTTGCATGTAACATTAATTATTCATTTATTGGGAAACCAAGAAATAATATTAATTCATAATTACTAATTTATCAAAACTGGCTTTTGCATGTAATAGTAATTAATTTATTGAGAAGCCAAAAATAATAACTACAAAAATGCTTTTTGCATGTAACATTAATTATTAATTTATTGGTAAAACAAAACAATAGTATTGATGCGTAATTATTATTACATAGTATATACAATAAATGGGGGGAGGCATAGGGGATCCAACTTAAAAAAAAAAAAACAGTAGTCGCCTTTGGGTCTGGGCGGCCGCCTTAACACCTAGGTGGCCTTGACCCCCCATCGCCTAGGCAGCCACCTTTGCCTTCTTGAACATGGATTGGAGGGCGTGTTGATCGCCCATGAAGCGATCTACTCCTGGCAAGCTTGGTGTTTGAGCTAGACGCAGAGAAGGCTTATGATCACAATGATTGGGTCCTTTTGGACCATGTTCATGGTCGCATAGGTTTCAAGAGTAGGTGGAGAAACTGAATCTCCGGTCGTATTCGATCACCTCACTTATCCGTCCTCATCAATGGAAGCCCCCGTGGATACTTCCCCTTGTCCAGGAGCCTCTGTCAAGGACATCCCCTTTCTCCTTTCCTTTTTGTGATTGTTTGGGATACAGTCAATAAATCTATCTCAAATCCATAAAATCACAATCTCCTTAAAAGTCTCTAACCCTCTTCCTAGTACACCTAAATTTACCAATTTATAGCATGCTGATGGCACATTTGTGTTTTGTGATGCGGATCTTTAGTAAATGGACAACCTATGATCAACTGCAGGATGTTTCGAGTTATTGAGGAGGCTTAAAATTAACCTAGCCAAGACTGAGATGAGGGTATTTGTGTGAACCATAACGACAGGCGAATGCTGGTGAAGCACCAAGGTTATGGGATTGACAGCTGGCCCTCTAACTACAATGGGCTCCAACTCTACCTTGGCAAGTCAAAGAAAAGATCATCAGATAAGGTTGGGGAAAAATTTGAGAGAAGGTAGACTGATTGGAAGGCCAGCTAGATGTCACTAGAGTGACAGATAATGCTAATCAAAGTTGCTCTCTCCAATATCCCGATGTTCGATATGTCCCTCTTCAGGATGCCCATAGCTATCCAGAAGTGACTCTGCGCATGACGAGAGATTTCTTACGACCAAGGATTCCAATCTTCTAAGGAATCTCTCTCATGTCCTATTAAGGATTGAGATCCTAAGTTATAAGGGTTCCAGATTCCCTACCATTGTTATATCGTATAGCAAAGATATATTATATATATGTATATAACAGTGTATTCTAGCATTCTAGCATAGTATAACAGTGCCTACCATATAGGTATACAACTATGGGTTATGTTAGGGTATTGATAATATACGAGTACTACGAAAATACTCAAGATTTTTGGTTTGTAATCCAAATTTTTTGAGTAATGATATTTTTTGTCACTAAGAGGGGTAGGATAGATATTTCTGTACGAAATTAGCGGCATTTTACTAGTGGTTAAGAAGCAATCATTGCTTCATGTGAGTGATGTCACATCTCATATAGATGATATTATCCTCCACTATAGTTAAAAAATGCTTCTCTTTCTATTAAGAATTTCTATTTTACCACTGATTAATTATCTAAAATACACCTAGACAAAAAAGTTACTACATTGTAGGGTAAAAGTATCAAACATCCAAAAATGTTGAGTACCTTAAGGAAATACTCATAAGAATGAATACCCTAACATAACCATATAACAATATCTTGTATAGTTATAAATAGTAAAGTAAAATATAGTAGCATATAAGCATATGGTACAATACAGTAGACTATATACAGCATAGAATCGTAGCATGGTATAGCAGTATATTATCGTACTGTATTACCACCCAAGTCCCAGTTAAACTCACCACCTTCATTCTCACTAACACTTTCAAAACAATTGACTCTTTCCAAAATTGGTAGGGCCCTCAAAAAAGTACATATTATACTACAATACTAGTTAAGTGCTCAAAGGGGCCTCGATTTTTAACTTCATGAGCTCCTATATAATTTATCATTCAAACACGATTAAGCTTGTATCAAGCTCCCCACATATTGAGATCGAGATCCTTGGATTCCAAGGTAAACGGATCGTAGTCCCTACTATAGAGAGCTCCCGCCTGTCACTATCCCGTAATCCCAATCCTAATACGGGTCTGATTCGACCTCAATCCCGGTAACTATAGTCAAAATAGCCACCTTTGGAACCAAGTCATTCAAGAAAAATATGGTCCTGATCAGTCAAGTTCACTAACAAGGTTCGTGCAAGTGCATGAGTGTCCGGCGCATGAAGGGAATCATTACAATCAATGAAGATTTCATTTGGCGGTTCACCACAGTCAAATCATGGCTAAGACAGAATATCATATAAGACAGTGGAGGGACCTTTGGGCTGGGGATGGCAGTCTTCAAAGGCTGTTCCCAAGCCTCTTTTCCATTGCTTAGACCCCAATGCTTTGATTTCAAGGTCCTATATTGTGCTTGGAGGACAGCTTGTTTGGCCACCAAAGTTTGGGATGAACTTTCATGATCCAAAGGCATCTCTATTGACAGCAC